TTCAAAAAAACAAAAAAAACTGAAATCTGAGAGTTAGAGAATTCCTTCTAGATCTAAAATCCTCCAAAAAAACCAAAAATAACACAAAAAACTCCAAAAATACTGTTTCATTGAAGCTTTCCTTAGATTAATTTCAAGTTTCAGTTATTAGTTCAAACTTCTAGCTTAGATAAGGATGTATTTCTGGCTGCGGAAGTTTCAAAGGTGTTCCTGGGTTTAATTTCGAGTTGTTTGGGTTCAATCACGTCTGTCCAGTTTATTTTATTGGTGTTGATCCTTTGTCATTCAATCCTGGGCTTTGTGATGCTGTTTTGAGTCCACAATCTATCCTATGTTGTGATTTCAACTGTTGGTTGCTTGCTTTGCCACTGCTGACACCTTCTTCTTTCCTTTTGCTTTAACTCCAGGTACACTCCCTGAATTTGTGTCAATGTAGATCTCAAGTAAACAAATGAAATGAAGTTTGGCAACTGATTTTTGTTGCAAATTCTGATTGTTTTTACGGCCCTACTGTATTTTATTGCCATTAGTCGGTACTATAATGGACTGTGTGGACTGTTGGACTTTGGATTATTCATTAGCCTCAATATAGTTTCATTTTGTGTTAGTTTAACTTTAGTATTAGAAATAGCGTGAACTTGAAACTTATTCTAAGATCATAGATCTTCACATTGTAACTGAAAACTAGACATTTATTGTTTACATATAGATTACTATACACAACATATAGATATGACAATCAAAGCAGGACTTTATAGGAATTTGATTAGAGTTATTAGTCTATTGGTTCGAAATTGAGAGTTTGCTATGATTTAGCTCACTATTTGAACATTTGAAGTTAAAGTTGTAGTCTAAAGTTCTATGTGAATTTGAAGTTAAATTGCAGAATAGCTGGGTAGCCCTGTACTGCTCTCGTTTCTACCAGCTAAATAAATTTTAGAAATAATAGAGTCCAAATCGTGTACATTTAACTACAAAATTGATGTTTAAAAGAAGCTGATCTAGGAGCGTGGATTAATGTTCATCAATATTTAAAATTTAAAATTAAGTGTTCAAATCATAAATCTCACATTCCTATGCTGATACTGATTTTACCTGGTTTGTTTTGTTGTTTGGGCCATGAAAACTAGACCAGACGTTGGGCCCAATTATTTAATAAGCAGTCCAAGTTTGGACCAGTGCATCTGCGGATTGGGCCTGGGTAGCCTGGGCTCAGATTCTGATTTCCATTTCCTCACGATTGGGCCCCAAACATGAAACTAAGTGCTAGAAGCCTTGATCAAATTGATAGTTCTAAAACAAAAACAAAACAATTTTGAGCCTTCCAAATTAGGTAGCGAATTTAAATTAAGAGGTTTCCCTTTTGTTTAAGTTCGGACTTGAATTTGAGGCCCAAGTTGTGTAACGTTAATTAATTAAGGCCCTTTTAGAGACAATACTTAATAGAAAACCATAGTTCCTTTAGGTTGGCCTTAAAATAAAATGAGGTGCGCCGCGCCAAATAAAATTCATAAACTGCGTGGTCTTCTTTAAATTACTTTATTAAAAATATTTTAGAACTCGGGACGTGCCATTTAGCGAATTTTCATGGCCCCCCGCAAAGTTAATAATACGTTAGTCACTTTAGGCGCACTCTAATAATTTTACCTTCCTAAACTCGGGTGTGCATTTCATGTGACCCAAATCCAAATCCCAAAACGTTGAATAAAATGTGTCGAGGATCCGGGTGCATTTCATGTGACGTGATCCGAAAACATGTTTTAAACGACGTTCAAGTTCTTAAAAATTAATTAAAAGCGGTAAATAATTTTAAAATTGCATTATAGGATGACATGTATAAAAAATTAGATTTTTAGCCAATTATAATAGTTTAAGCGACCGTGCTAAAACCACGGGATCCGGAGGTGCCTAACTCCTTCCCTCGGGTCAACAGAATTTCTGGTTCGCAGACTCCATTCGGGAAGTCGAAATTTCCTCGATTTGGGATTCAAGATAAACCGGTGACTTGGGACACCAAAAGCCAAACCTATCCCAAGTGGCGACTCTGAATGCATAAATAATCCAATTTCGAATAATGTCACTTTAAATGGAAAAACTCCCTTATACATTTATCCTTCGGGGTAGGTGTGTAAAAAAGGAGGTGTGACACATATCATATAGACGTATGAATAAATAGCATACAAATACTTGAAAATGACGGAGTGATTGCGAAATGTGTTATATATTAAAAGGTTGTGGACACAACTGATGTCAATCATTCCTGTTATTGTTCTAATATATTGTTGCTACGTTAAGTGTAGTCAATAATCTGATATGCAATCGAAAGTCGAGACGTATTAGTCTACAACATAAGAAAGTTTAAATTGGACTTTCATGACAATGAAACGAGTTTTGAAGTATTTGAAGTATACTCCAAATTATGCTTTGCACTACAATAAGTATCTCTCGATAATAGAGTGGTATAGTGATGCAAATTAGATCATCGGTTCAACCGATTCTAAACAGTCGGTGGAGGAGCGATGTCTTGGAAATCGTTCAAACAAATGTACATTGACCGCTCTACATTGGAGGTTGAGTTTATAACATTAGAGAAGGCCGGTGAAGAAGTTGAATGGCTCCGGAATTTCTTGGAAGATATTCCATTTTGGCCCAAACTTTTGGCACCTATATGTATACATTGTGATAGTCAAGCGACTATAGGAAGGGCTGGGTGCGTTATGTATAACGGAAAATTTTTGTCATATATGACGAAGACATAGAACCATTAGGCAACTACTCTCTAGGGGAATTATCATAATTGACTATGTAAAGTCAAGCGATAATGTATCGGATCCACTTATAAAAGGCCTAACTAGAGAGGTAGTTGAAAGATCATCGAGGGGAATGTGACTATGGCCGAGGACAAGTCATTGTGGCGGTAACTCTACCTAGAAGACTGGAGATCCCAAGATCTAGGTTCAAGGAGCTCAAACAAAGTCACTAATGACGGTTCAACATTGTCAAATAAAATTTCTTTTTGGTCCATTCTCGTGATGAGACAATGTTCAGTACCAAGGATAAAGAGTTAAGACTTTTTAATGGTTTCTAAGTTTGATACAGGGTATATCAAATAGTGTATCTACGGGATAACACGTTTAGGAATCACCTATGCAAGTGTGAAGTATAAGCCGCTTCAAGGAGAATTCTGTAAGGCCAGTTCTCTACGCACTTATGAACCAGGTGGTGTTCATGGCTGAAACGAACACAACAATGAGAACCAAAGACGGTTAAGGGTTGATTGTGTGACTTGTGGTTGTCTAGGTATACACCAAAGCTCAACGGTTCAAAGATATCAATTCTACCGATTGACCGAGTATATCCGACATAAGTTCACTACGGAAAGTTCAAAGGGAAACCTACTTATCCAGATGCGATTAATCCTTACTTGCGAATCACACTGTATTTTCGTGTATGTTTTTACACATATGCCCATTCCCCATTCATGTGGGGGATTGTTGCGTTTTTCTTTAAAGGGTATGAATGGGAAATGGAAGAGGCACCTTTTGGATTGCACCTCTTCTTCTCACCCTTCCTTTGTCTATAAATTTAGAGGCTTGGCCTCGTTTTTAAAAAATGAAAAAAACTGAAAATTTCTCCCCTCTTTTCTATTTGCATTATTTTCAAATAAACATAAGTGTCAAGTGTGATTTGCTCCGTCTGTTGAGTTCGCTGAAATTTGTAATTTCGATTGCCAGTATTGCAGAATAGTTATTCCGTTCTATCCTGGGAGGAATTAATCCAAAACATTGGGCAACAGTGAGGGGATTAAATTCCTTAAGGACACACAAGCAACTTATGGGCTCGGAATTATTTTACGACTTATTTATTGAACTAACGTTTGTTTACTTTTCTGATTTTGAACACAGTAATACCAACAGAATCTACTAATTCTTTGACAACAGTTGTCCAAATACATTAATAATAATACAAAGTAGTAGCAATTTCACCTTAAAATTAATAAGTCCAAACATATAGTACCAACAATTCAAATTTAAGTTAACAAGACAACAACTACTCAATCCTTATAGGCTTCACCAAATAAACTGGATGTTATTTGTCAAATGCCTAACATGAAAAAAGAAACCATATAGCAAAACCTTGATCTGTGCACGGGCAATACTAATACAGAAAAAAAAAAAAAAACACCAAGAAGGCAAGAAATGTTGTCATGTTGTCAAAGCTCAGCATACTGTATACCCGAAACTGACGAAGATTGTCGATTGAGAATTGATAAGTGCAAAGAGAAACTGGTAGTAGGTATAGGCTGCACAACGTCAGCTCACAAAATTAAGAAACGAAAATAAAAAATAAAGAATCATTAACAGCCAAAAATACCAATATGAAGATGGATTTTGTTATAGAAATTAAAAGCCTAATGTATAAGACTAAAGACTTACGCTAGGAGTAACTAGTAAGGTCTATGAAAAATGAAGATGAAGCAGCTGAAGAGTTCGGCTGAGAAAGACTAGGAGAGAATGAACTGAAGCCCTAGCATATGTATATAAAGTCATAATTTTATTAATTCTTATTGGGTTATCGGTTAACCCATTAACAAAATTGACAAACCGAGGCCCGAACCGATAACCTAACAATGAAAAAATTCTAAATTGTTACCGAACCATTAACCGAATAACCCGATATCGATAACCCAATAAACAATTAACAGTTCGGGATATCGGTTTTACCCGATATATGCCTAGCCCTATGTCGGATTAAAAGGGCAGTCCGGTGCACTGAGCTCCCGCTATGCACGGAATTCGAAAAAGGGCCAGACCACAAGGATCTACCGTACTCCTCTATGATTCATATATCTTTTTCTCACTTTGTTAACAGTGGAATCACACTGAGTATGTTGTTGTTGTTAATTGTGGATGAGACTGTACTCCATATATAAACGAACAGAAGCAAAAAAAAAAATATATAGTAATAGTGATGTCTGAGCCAGCTTGAGCCATATAGACTATTTCACCAAATACCTGCTAAAAGCAAAATTATTGTCAACAGTAGATGCATCATTGACATTTTGAGAACATCATTTACATAAGTCCCTTAAGCATTTCAAGATGTTTTCCACCTATACACCTTTCAAGAACAGCTTCCATCCCATAGTACAGCAAATTGTAAAAACACTTCCACTCCATCTAAGGATAATTTATAGTTGAAAATAGGCAAAATCCAAAGATGCTGGAAACAAAACTTAGAAACTAAAATCGCCAAGCAGGGTAATTCGCTTCATTGTTCTCCTCGTAGGGAGCTGTCGAGCTGCTTCCTCCTCTCTCAGCATAATTGCCTGTGTTTTGGTTGGACGAGCGAAAAGGCCACAAAAATGAAAAGGGGTTCCTCCTCCCCTGGTTCTGACCGGTATTGTCCCTGCCGCTATTGTTGCTGCCACTGCTAACATTTCCAGTTCTTGAACTCCAATTGGTCGGGGCACTTCCAGAAGGTCGCGAAGGAAGCTCAAGGCGGCAAACAGGGCACGAGTTGTGCCGAACCAACCAAGGTACAATACAATCTGCATGGTAAATATGCTTACATGGCATCTGCCTTGCTTCAGAACCCAATTCAAAGTTATCTTGACAAACTGGGCACTGAGAATCCGTGTTGAGGTGCCTCTGTGTGATCTTGACAGTAGGCAAAGCATCTATTGCCGAACGAGGTGCCGGGGGTGGGCCCTGCCTATCATTCATACTGAGCTGCTCAATCAACTGTTGCAGCCCAGGCCCCATTAAATCATCTAAATTAGGTCGCCGCTGCCCCATTCCCGGACTTCCATTGAAGAAGTACTCAAATGCATCATTTTCCGTCATACTAACAGGAGTTTGGCCGTGAAATATCAACCATGGACCAGAACCGAAACTCCTTCCTTGTCCAGGAACAATGCCAGATCTTGTCCTAATGTCAAAGTTCGGGTTTCTTCCTGCCATTCTCTGCCTCATGAATTGAGCAAGGGCGTCCATTATACCAAATCTTGGGTCCGGGAAAGGATCCATTAATCCAAAATGAGGATCATCCTCAATAGTAGATCTAGCACCTAGCATGTCATCAAGCTCTTCAACGAAACCTCCCCCACAATTTGGGCAAAGACAGCTAGCCCCTCGAGGCCGAATTGGTTGCCTGCATCTGTGGCACCAGTGTGTGTAGCTCCCACTCGACATCTCTTATCAGCAGTTTCCTGAACAAAACTTGAAACTTTTAAACCAAGCTGCAGATCATCCTACATCCACAAACTAACAGTTCAACTACAATAGAGATTATTACCAGTTTCATTACATGAAATAAGACAATCGATTCAGATAAAGAATCAGGTAATGCCCAAAAGTGATCTCATGCGTCAATCACATTCACCAAAAAAGGTCATATTAGACCTTCCAAACCTAAAATTTCCCTCCCCTTATAGCCCTTTTTGAAAAGATCTCTCTTTTTTTCTTTCAGAGCTGGTACATCCAACCCATCCACCCCACACACCTTCCCNTGAGCAATGGATACATCCTCTTTGCATAAATTCAAGGTGAAGGCAACATATTATATGCAGTCCTATGTTGCGCGGACTCTCCAAAATGTTGCCGCACCCGTGTCGGATCCTTAAAAAATGCACTACTTTTGGAGGATCCGACACACACCCGGCAACATTTTTGAGAGTTCGAGCAAAATATATATGCCACCCACTTTCTACCTCCCCCCCCCCCCCCCCCCCAAAAAAAAATACACCGGATAAGCGCCCCCTCCCCCCTGCTAACAAGGGTGGTGTCCGAGCCTGTGCAGTTCGACTATTCCACGAGGTACCTGCTAACTCCCGCGACCACAAGTACCGGGTAACTTTGTGCAGTAAGGCCTTTGCCAAAAGGTTTTGGAAGAATACATATTCTAAGCGGAATTTAAGTTATTAGCAAAATATACAGTAACTGACCAGATATAATCAATCCAAAAACTACCCTCTTATGATCTTCAATCCTCATGATCATCCAAATTACTAACAAAGCTAGCTCCTTTACACTTTAATCAAATCATAACATACATATAACACAAAATCTTGAAGAAAGAAAAAAAACCCATCAAAAACACAGAAACAAAGATATTCAAACAAAAAAAAGTCAACTTGATGACAAATTTGAATTAAAACCCATGAAATATTATGTAAATTAAAATTGAGATTTGGGTTCTTACCAAGAAGATGAGCTGAAGATGAAGGTGGAAACAGTGAGAGAGAGAGAGAGAGAGAAAATGAAATGAACCCTAAAAAGAAGAAAGGGGACAAAAAGGGGATGAGATATGTGCTGTTTTACAGTAGATATGTACTAAAGTGTTTCCTATGTGCATTTTTTATTTATTTTTTATATATATTCTCACCAACTACATGCCAAAATGGTGATGGGAGAGGTTAACAAAGTTAATCATTTTGATTACAAAAAACTACACTTTGGTACCATAAGTTTGTGTTTATTCAAGTTTGAAGTGAAAAGAGTTCAAACTACATGCCAAAATGTCTGGTTATTAACAACTCATTTTTATTAGAAAAAATTACACTTTGGTACCATAAGTTTATGTTTTTTCCACTTTAAGGTGAAAAGAGCAGGGGTGGATATGGGTCTGTTCTATTCGATTGTGAAGGTTATCGGTTTGGCGTATTAGTTATCGATTTATAAATATACTAAACCGATAACCAAACCAATAAGATATCGATTATCGGGTATCAGTTATTGATAGTAATCAGTTCGGTTATTGGTTTACCCAACAAGAATCGAAAATATCAAAAAATCTCATATTTTTGTTATAGATATCGTGATCATACTGTTAAGAGAAACAAACTGAATTTTTGTTCTTAAGATAAGAGGGATTAAATTTCAATTTTAGAAAATAAAATTTTTCTTTGCATGTGAAAATTCCAACGAATAATCTCAGTTCTTAATAAGCTAGTAGGAGTAATTAATAATACATTCAACAAGCTAATCTTACTAACTACGTAAAAATGGTAAAAATCTAATCTTATATGATAAAGAATTAGGGCAACCAAAAAAAAACTAAAAATCTAAAAAATTAATTCTTTAAAAGTTTAAAACTATAAAATATGAATTGAAGAATAAAGATGAGATTCAGAAAGTTTAAAACAATCAAGCCTTAAGGTGGCTTTACATACTTAAGGGTATAATTATACGATAAAGCTTATTGGGTTATCGGTTAAACAATTAATAAAATTGGATAAATCAAGACCTAAACCGATAACTCAATAGTCAAATAATATTAAATCGTTACCAAACCATTAATTCAATAGCATTTTTTGGATTCGGGTTATCAGTTTTACCCAATATATGATCAATAGTGTGATATGTTAAGATGAACACTATACTTAGTTGGGGCATTCTTCTTCTATATGGACAACTCTAACTTGAAAATCAGTTTTTATTGGTTAATTGGAGCTCTTATCATAACTAGTATTAGTACCCGCACAATGTGCGGATAATATTATGATCCTGCTATATTTTATAAATTAAAAAGAATAAATTATATGAATAACTATTGGCATAAGCTTAAATATTATAACCCAATATATAGTCGATGATACAAACAAATAAAAATACAATATGATTCAAAAACATATACTCCTTTCCTTTCAATTTACATAAGGTATTTTTCTTATTAGTCTATTCTAAAGAATGACAGGTTTCTATATTTGGAAATAATTTAACTTTAGATTTTTTATTTTACTCATTTTACCCGTAATGAGAAGCTCTTACACTCGTACAACTATCACGGCCCCATAAAGCTTTTAGGACCATAAGTTTCAAAAGTTTTCTTATTCGTTCTTAAACTTCGTGCCAAGTCATACAACAACAACCCAATGAGATCCCACAAGCGGGGTCTTGGGAGGGTAGTGTGTACGCAGACCTAGAGAGGTTGTTTCCGATAGACACTCGGCACAAGAAGAAGGAAAGAGATAGTATATAAGTAACAACTAAATTCAAACTATCTCATCGAAATTGAAACTGAGTGAAATAATACTATATAAAGTAATAACTAATAAAAATACATTTAGTAATATCTTAATTTAAATTTTAAAAATATAATATTATTATCTCAACATAATAATTCTCACATCACATCAACTTCTGTCAGCCTAAAATTTCACAATGATAAATAATATATACACACATGATGATTTAATGACAAGCAATATATTCTAACTTTTGGGAGTTACCAACATATAAAATAGTTGGATCGTAATTTGCTCAACAATTTTAATGTCACCTCAATTTTAACCACACAATTAAAGTCACTTTGTTTTTAACAATTTAAATGATACTTTTGGAATATAGTTAAGATTAGTATATTATAATTAATAAATATTAAACTACTTTAAATGTACCATGCACATGTACTAAAAGAAGATGAGTTCTTACAGGTAATTCTTAATTAAATGAATTTTACCTTATGCTTTTTATAATTCACTTTATTTTGTGTAAATATTAATCCCAAATAGTGCAATTGTATTCCTGTATATGTCTACCCTATCTAAATCTATTTCATTCTAATTGACCATATATGCCGACTCCATCGGTTGCTCAATCAATTAGCTCATACGTTTTGAGAGAGAACATAAATATCAACAACGGGCTAAAAAATCATAGTCCATACCTGAGCCATTAGAGAAGAAGTCATCCTCCCTTCTTATCTAATTTAGCATGGCAACTGCTAGCACTAATAGAAAAATAAAATATAAAAGGTGTATGTGTTGCTTCCAAACAATTGAGATATAAAATAAATTATAAAATATTGGATAATTAGTTTTACCGTAAGGAAACATAATTGACATTAGTTTAGCCGATGTCTGAGTTGCTTCATAGTTTAAAACATTATCCCCACAAAAATATATGTCATCAGTTCATCTATTCTTGTGTAAAGTTATGATTGATTAACTCCCTTCCAACATTATTGGAGTTGCTTTAAATTGATCGAATCGAACTGCATTTATGTGACAATTCTCTTTTTGAGAGTCATTTTAAAAGTATTCGACTCCAAACTACATACATCACACATCTTGATTCTTAAAACTAAAATGCTAATTGAGCAAGAGATATAGATTTATTTTTAAATGTCACGACCCAAATCCCGAACCCGGTCGTGATGGCGCCTCTCGTGAAGACAAGGCCAGCCAGAACAACGCAAATACCTCTTTTAAAGCAATTAATTAACATTAACAATTCTAACACATGTTTAAGATAACCATAAACGCGGGAACAACGATAATAACAAGGGAAAACCATCCCGACACAGCCCAAACCGGGGTGTCACAAGTCATGAGCTACTACAGAGTTTGCTATAAGTCTACAAAGTATGATATCTGATACAATAGTCTGAAGAGAAATATAAATGATAGAGGATAAGGGAGACAAGGGGCTGCGAACGTCAACAGCTACCTCGTAACTCCAACTCGCTGCCTGGTCTGGAAGGAATCAGTGCTCAGGTGCGGACTCTGCTATGCCTGAATCTGCACACATGGTGCAGGGAGTAATGTGAGTACTCCGACCCAGTGAGTAATAATAATAAATAATAACCGAAGGCATGAAAACACATAAGTGCACAAGGCAATTCTATATCAGGCAGTAAATCACTTAAAGCAGTAAAACAATAAAGAGTCAAATGAAATCTCCCTTTTAAAAAACAGGTAAATCAGGTAAACAACAAGTAAATAGTGAGTAGGAATCTGCCTCTCGGGCCCAGTATCAATCGCTCAGAACAGTGTCAGCCACTCGGGCTCAGTATCAGTCACTCAGCATAGCATCAGCCCCTCGGGCTCACTCTCAGATCATATGGGTACTCGCGCTCACTGTGGGTGTGAAGACTCCGGAGGGACCCCTTACGGTCCAAGCGCTATATCAACATAAGGCCTGAAAGCCTTCTCACATCACTCATAAGGCCTGAAAGCCTCCTCACATCACTCACAAGGCCTGAAAGCCTCCTCACGTCACTCAAGCCACCTCGTGGCATATAAATGTATCTCAGGCCCTCGGCCTCATATCACTCAGCATATCCTCACATATGGCCCTCGGCCTCACTCAGTCCAGAAATCATCACAAGCCTCTCGGCATCAGTAAAACAGTAGTGCTCAACCCAAACAACATAGGAAATATCATTTAAATCTCAAAAATTCAATTAAAAGTGGCTGAGTTTGTAAAACAGTATTAATCAACAGGACTGAGCTCAAGTAATATATCAAAATAGTGAGGAAACGGTGATAAAAGCCCACGAAGGATTCAAGTAGTCGGCATGAAGCCCAAAAATATGGCAATAAGCCCAAATCATGTTGATAACAAACATATCTCTGTTAAGTACGCAGTAAAATATCAATCGGGGTGGACCAATTCACAATCCCCAGTAGTAAAAAACCCCGCGCTCGTTGTTAAGCGCGTGTTTCACCTCAATATAGCACTACGTTGTGCAAATCCGGGGTTTCAAACCCTCAGGATATCATTTACTATCATTACTCACCTCAAGCCGACCAAAATCCTAGCTCGCTATGCCCTTGCCTCTCAAACCGGCCTCCCCGCGCGTCGAATCTGGTCAAAACCACAACGAATACATCACAATAGGCTAAGGGAACATAACCCAATCGAAAAGAATCGAAAAACATCAAAAATCACGAAATTTGAAAAACCCGAGCCCCGGGCCCACTTCTCGAGTTTCAAAAAATTTTACATCAACGGATTCCTTATCTTGCCATGAGTCTATACATACCAAGAACTCCCAAATCCGAGCTCAAATGGCCCATCAAAACCCAATTTGAAATTTCAAAACTCAAGCCCTAGTTCTTCCCCCTTTTTAATAAATTTTCATGAATTTCTAGGTTGATTCTACAATTAAATCATGTTTTTAGTTCATAAAACTCACCTCCAATCAATCCCAGTCGAAATCCCCTTCAATTCCCGTCCAAAAGCTCTCAAGGATGCTCAAAAATGGAGGAAAAATAACCTAGCTCGCGGAACAAAATGACTTAAATCTATTCTGCCCAGGTGACTTTTTACCCTATGCGAACGCGAGGGCCTTCTCGCGTTCGCAATGCACAAAAATCCCATTGGCCCATTTTACCCTTCGCAAACGTGAAGCCTCATCTGCGATCGCAATGCTCTAGCTGATACTACTACGCGAACGCGAGCCTTGTGTCGCGAACGCGGAGAACAAAATATTATGGGACTCTAAATCCTTCTACGCGGACGCGATTATCCTTCCGCGAACGCGATGCACTAGCTCCCAGACCTACGCGATCGCGAACCACTGAGTGCGA